AGACTGTCTAAACAAACAAACAAAAAAAAGCGTGGCCGGGCGTGGTGGCTCACGCCTGTAATCCTAGCACTCTGGGAGGCCAAGGCGGGCAGATTGCTCAAGGTCAGGAGTTCAAAACCAGCCTGAGACCGCATCTCTACTAAAAATAGAAAGAAATTAATTGACCAGCTAAAAATATATATACAAAAACTTAGCCGGGCATGGTGGTGCATGCCTGTAGTCCCAGCTACTCGGGAGGCTGAGGCAGTAGGATCGCTTGAGCCCAGGAGATTGAGGTTGCTGTGAGCTAGACTGATGCCACAGCACTCACTCTAGCCTGGGCAACAAAGTGAGACCCTGCCTCAAAAAAAAAAAAAAAAAAAAAAAGCTCAAGCTACTTCATTTCTGTGACTGACTTTTTTTTGGACAGCATCTTACTATTAATATATCACCCAGGCTGGTCTCAAACTCCTGGCCTCAAGTGATCCTCCTGCTTAGCTTCCTGAGTAGCTGGGACTATAGGTACATGCCACTGTACCCCACTAACACCTTTTTCTCTATCCTATCATATTCCAACCATGGCAGCGTCAGCTTAATATTACATGTTTAATGCTCTGGTTTTATGTTCTCTCTTTGTTTTGGGTCCCTAAGGACTTTCTTTAGTTTTTTGTGAGTTCAGAAACCACTTTTTAAAAAAAAGCCTACCTTGTTTCTCTCTAGATGAAGTTAGTTTCTCCCTTCTTTGTACTTTGCAGATAGTTTTATTGTGATGCTCCTTAACATAATAGTTTTAATTATTTGTTTCCATATTTATTTCCCTGCTAATTATAAGTTTCTTTAGGGCAGAGATTGGTCTTATTCATCTGAGTATTCCCAGCACCAAGGACAGTGCTTGGAATGTGTAAAGTGTTCAAAAATGTTTGTTGAATTGAATTCCTGAAGAGTGAGGAACTAGGCTTGAAAGAAAAGAGAGATCTGAAATAAGACTAGAGGTGGAAGAGGAAGGTCTTAAAAGAAGAGCCAGACATGGCTTCAGAAAGAGGGACCTGCTGCCTTATTATCTATAAATTTGCCCTTTGCCTCCTTCATCAAATGCATTTCTGCCTTCTCAGGAATCCTCTCAGATCTCCCACAGAAGCTGTCTGGCCTCCGCCAAACCAGCTGCTATAACTCCCAAGATATCAGGCCTAGACTTAAGGCTTCCCAACTACCATCCACTTCACACATCCTCTCCTATTTACCAGGACCTCCTGCTTTGGTAATAAAAAGAGCTGTCCTGCATATATTAATACTATCTCATTTACTCCTTATCACAGTCCTGTTGAAAAAGGGATATCCCCATTTTACAGACGATGACACAAAGTCTTAGAGAGGTTAAGAACCTTGCCTCAGGCCGGGCGCGGTGGCTCACGCCTGTAATCCTAGCTCTCTGGGAGGCCGAGGCGGGCAGATTGCTCGAGGTCAGGAGTTCAAAACCAGCCTGAGCAAGAGCGAGACCCCGTCTCTACTATAAATGGAAAGAAATTAATTGGCCAACTAAAAATATATACAAAAAATTAGCCGGGCATGGTGGCGCATGCCTGTAGTCCCAGCTACTCGGGAGGCTGAGGCAGGAGGATCGCTTGAGCCCAGGAGTTTGAGGTTGCTGTGAGCTAGGCTGACACCACGGCACTCACTCTAGCCTGGGCAACAAAGCGAGACTATCTCATAAAAAAAAAAAGCGCTTGTGCTCTGGATCCAGACAGACCTGGGTTCAAATCTGAGAAAGATATTACATAAAATGGGATAGTCTATAAAATGGGGCTAATAATACCCCAAAGAGTTGTTGTAAAGGTTAAATCATACAATAGGTGAAAGCACCCAGCACAGTGTTTGTCATATGGTGAAGTTTCAATAAATAGCAGCTTATAACACTAAAGCCAAGAGAGACAATAATTTGCTTAGAAGTACATAATACCAGTTATGTGTGGAAACACCGATGGGAATTCAAGGCTGTGTGATTCCAAAACTCCATACTTTTTCCATTATTCTATGCTAGCAGTATGTTTTAAGTCTCTGTATCAGCTTTTTCTTTTTCTCTAGAAACAGAGTCTTGCTGTATTGCCCAGGTTGGAGTGTAGTGGCTATTCACAGGTGTGATCATAGTACACTGCAGCCTTTTTTTTTTTTTTTTTTTTGATAGTAAAAGTGTTGTTATACTGCAGCCTTTAATTATTGATCTCAGCCTTTCAAATTGCTGGGACTACAGGTGTGCAACACCGCACTTGGTTAGTCTCCACATAATCTTAAACTGTTTTTCTAAGAGTCCAGAGTTCTTTCTTGCCAGATTAGTGTAATTTTGTTAGGGACCGACCTTCCACAGCCCCACCAGACAGAAAAGCAGAGACATTGAGGATGTAATTACACAAAAGGAGGTTTATTTTCTGGCTAGCCAGGGTCCAAGCCCTAGAGCACCAACACAGTGGCCACTCTTGCAGGCAAGGACCCCGACCGGGGTTGCAGCGTGCCTTTTATCCCTATGGTGCATACACTATGCAGTGGCTGATCACGCGTGGATCATGCATTGACCTTTAACATGATTGGTTGGCTGGTAGCCCCACTATACAGGGGTTCGAACAATGCAAAGTTGGCACAAACAAGCAAGCAAGCAACAGTTTCCAGAAGCCAGATGTTAGTTCCGGCTTCACTGGGGGTGTGGGCCTTGCAGGTATGCAATGTCTCGACCCCTCACAATTTTTAATATTTTTCTATTATAAATTTAATCCATACTTATAAAGATAAACAAACCGTATCACATCCTCCAGAATTAACTATTAATATTTATTTTCCGGCCACGCTCACACCTGTAATCCTAGCACTCTGGGAGGGGTAGGCGAGAGGATCACTTGAGCTCAAGAGTTGGAGACCAGCCTGAGCAAGAGCAATACCCCATCTCTACTAAAAATAGAAAAATTAGACGGCCATTGTGCCTGCTTGTAGCCCCAGCTAGTCGGGAGGCTGAGGCAGGAGGATCCTTTGAGCCCTTGAGTCTGAGGTTGCAGTGAGCTATGATGTTGCCACTGCACTCTAGCCGGAGCTACACAGCAAGACTCTGCCTCAAAAAAATTGTTTTTTTAATTTTCTTGCAATCTTTTTTCCATGTATATTTTTTCACAATGCTATACATAATTTTGCGTTTTTCACTTCTTACATCATAAAAATTTTCTCAATATAAGATACTCTTCAAAAACGTGATTTTATTTCATGCTTGTTTCTGCTTATTTCATCAAATGAACATACAATTATTTCACCATTTACTATCGGTGGAACATTTACTTGTTACCAATTTGACAAACTCTGTAATGCGTATCCTTTTAAAAGAATCCTTACGTTGCTTTTTTTTTTTTTTTTTTTTTTGATAGTAAAAGTGTTGTTATACTGCAGCCTTTAATTATTGATCTCAGCCTTTCAAATTGCTGGGACTACAGGTGTGCAACACCGCACTTGGTTAGTCTCCACATAATCTTAAACTGTTTTTCTAAGAGTCCAGAGTTCTTTCTTGCCAGATTAGTGTAATTTTGTTAGGGACCGACCTTCCACAGCCCCACCAGACAGAAAAGCAGAGACATTGAGGATGTAATTACACAAAAGGAGGTTTATTTTCTGGCTAGCCAGGGTCCAAGCCCTAGAGCACCAACACAGTGGCCACTCTTGCAGGCAAGGACCCCGACCGGGGTTGCAGCGTGCCTTTTATCCCTATGGTGCATACACTATGCAGTGGCTGATCACGCGTGGATCATGCATTGACCTTTAACATGATTGGTT